AGAGAGAGAGAGAGAGATGTGAATTAGATGTGAATTATAATTAAAGCCCCAGAAATACAAGGGTCTTCTTTTACATCATTTCTTCCCCTTGTATGATCTCTTTATTTTCTCTTTCATTTCTATTGTAATTTTGTGTTGCATTCTAATTTTTTTTTGAGAGGAAGTTAACATTGCATTCCTGGAATTTTGTGTACAAGAATTTGTATGTCCTCTTTCACCCGCTAGGGGTGGACCGGTAAAAAACAGTTAGCGTATCATATACAAAAAGGGGACTTATAGGTTCCGCCCGGTTTAGAAGATTTATAAGAAGCTTTCAAAAAATTGCAAAAGATATAGGAGACCTAAAATTGCCAACTAATATGCTATGTAGAAGGGCTGTGCCGAAGGTCCTGTGCAAAAAAGGAGTCGGCCCTGGCTTGATCTTGTACTTGCAAACTAGCTCCCTCTTTCACCAAGTGGTGCATTCTAATTTTGCATTTTTTTCCAGCCCAAGGACATCTCCTAGTCATCTCTTTTAAGAGAGGATATCTCAAATGCCAAGATAATTCATTCTGATCCATTTGGGTCTGTGTGTGTGCGCACGCGTGTATGTGTGTGTGGGTGGATGTTTGTGGAGTTGATTAGAATCCACCACCATCACTAATGCTTCACTTTCTCCTTGGGAAAGGAGTCTCTTCTTTGCCACTGATCTACTGACACCCCTCTCTCCACACATTCTTCAACATCCCAGCCTAGAGTCTTTGAAGACATAGATCACACAATACATAGTAAGGAAACTACATCTTAACGAGTTCCATGCACAACCTATTCTTGTTCCAACCTAAGAAAAAGGGGTTGCGATTCATGTGCATCTTAGTTTGCACAAAAGGAGAAGTTGGACAGGAGATACTAGATGCACACTGTTGACAAAAAACCATACTATATGGAACTCTCAAGGAGCACCAGAAAAATTCAAGGGAACACTTAAAGAACTTGATGATAATACCTTTCCTAACCTAAATGATGAGAGAGAGAGAGAGAGAGAGAGAGAGAGAGAGTATTTGTGTTCTTTCCAGTCCATGGACATCATTTTGTGGATACAGCATTCACCATCCATCTGAAAATCGTGTGAATATACGAGTTCAAACAACTGAAATAACTGTTTTCTCTCCCTCTGTTATTTTATTAGCAAATCAATTTTTGGTCATGTTGGCCATGTTGATCATTTAATGTTGCTTTTTCTTGCTTTCCATTTGGTGTAATCTTTTGGTTACTTGGTAATCTTTGGTTTCTTTCCATCTTTCCATATATTGTTCCGTGCTGCTATTTTTTTTTTATCGATGATTGATTCCATTGACAGAAAAGCACAAATACACAAAAAGTTAATGTTGCTGTGGTTTTAAAGTTTCTCTCTCATGGACACTATGATAGGTGACCCTGCCAAAGATGTGGTCAAAGATGCCCTCCAGGATCGGATGTCCATGTGCCAACATGTGAGGGGCACATTTGATAAGGCAGTTATTGACTTCAATAAGAAAGGCGCAAAAGGAAGCAGACAGAGTAATACGAAGGGGGGGAGACAGAGAAAGAGGGGTGCGCAGGGCTGTTGAAGACATGAACATTGACTGAGAATTGATAGCACCAGTGTTCTAGAAACTGGATTAGCCTATTGAACCAGCTGCCGGCTATTTTATGGCTTCCCCATGTTACACTGTGCTCTGGGGGAATACACTGTATGCACGATTTTGTCCTTTCCCATGTTTTCGATAGCTATACGATCTTAGATGAAAAGTACTGCTTGGAAGCACATTGTAAATGCTCATTGGTCTTTTCTCATGTGTTTAAGATGAAAAACATTGTTTCTTTGATATTCTGTTTTGGGGTTTTGGGTTTCATTGATTCTGCCTATGGACATGGATATAGGTGTTATGTATATAAGCGCCAAAATGCCAACTTTAGAATTGGACTTTTAAGCACAGCACGCTTCTATACACGCTTCTATACCGAAGGTTGTGCAATTTTAAGTGGAATTAGGTGTTTATACTAGCATTTTTTTCAACAAAAAATAGCCAAGTTTCCGAGTCTTTTTAGTTCCCGAGTGGATGAATGTAACCCTAGTCTATAAATATCCCCACGGCTATAATGTAGAGCCAAAATATATGCTGCTGTTATAGGAGTATACTATTAATTTGCTCCCTTGGGTAAAATTCAAGTTAGGAGTATTTTTCAGGACCTGCAACTTCTAGAGAGTAGTGACCAATTTTGCAAGGCAATATCTAAATATTGAAGTATTTAAAATATATATATTTTTAAAAGCAATTATCTAGTTCAAAAAAAATAATAATCAAAAGTGTATGTTTTGTCTGAGTTAATGTACAGTATGTTCTCCCGAGAGCATATGTTATAGGCACTCAACTGCTAAGCATCATAAATTTCTTATTCACTCCGTAATAAAACACCAAAATTTACATACTTAAATGGCATGTGGTTGGGATCGAAGTAATGTTCTTACTACGGTTTAGGTTTTTATTGTCACCGAACACATTAAAAAACCACTAATGATTTCAAAAAACAAGTAGGTATCGCCCCTATTGAATTACCCAAAAAAATGTCTTTTTCAATAGAAATCTCTCTCCAATAGGATATTTGAAAATCGGCCCCAAGTTACTTTCCTAATTTATAGAGGGAAATTCATGTGAATATATCCCCAAATATCCCTTATTCTTTTTTCTTTTTTTTTTTCTTTTTTTTTTTCTCCGTTTCCTAGATTTCCCCAACAACTTCAAACCGTCAAGGTCCAGGATGAAGTTTGATAACTTCAAGTTGAGGTCTAGTACAAGGCTAGAAGTTTTTCTATGTTTCCTAGATTTCCCCAACAACTTCAAACCGTCAAGGTCCAGGATGAAGTTTGATAACTTCAAGTTGAGGACTAGTACAAGGCTAGAAGTTGCCCAGAGCCGCAACTTTGATTCTCATATATAAGGTTTATTTCGTTAAATACAATTCAGACTTTGAAAGTTCAAATTTGTCGAAACATCAAACTCAATTTCAGAGAAGTAGGCACAATCAGAAAAAAATGAAACAAAAAAATAGAAAAATGAATACGAGTGTATAACGAACATACGAAGGAGATCATTTAAATATTAGTAATTCGGGGATATTAGTGTAAATTTATCTAAAGCATATATAATGTCGCTCGTTTTAAGCACTGCTTTTCCAATGAATGAACATAGGAAAAACAACTTACGGCTCCGTTTGATTCTTTAGATTCAGATTTCTAGGAGTCATTTTTCTTGAAAAAGTTGTGCCAATCATATTTGGTTCGCTTAGAATTGACATTTCCGTTGGAATTGAGATTTCTCTGGGATTTCTAAATACTCATTTTAAGTCTAAATTTTGAAAATCTCAATTCCATCAAAATAGGTGGAATTAACATTTCATGAAAATGACCATTTTGCTGTTGAAAAACATAAAAATATCAAAATTTTAGAGAGCGAAACTATATCAAATTTTAGAGAGAGAAAACACATTTCAATTTTACAGAGAGAAACTATATCAAATTTTAGAGAGGGTAAGTATACAAAATTTTTTAGAGAGAGAAAATATATGAATTTTTTTTTAGAGAGAGAGAGGCTATCTCAAATTTTTTAGAGAGCGAAACTATCTCAAATTTTTAGGGAAAGAAACTATATCAAATTTAAAGTTTTAGAGAGATCATATTAAAATTTTAGATAGAAGAACTATCTCAAATAATAAGTTTTAGAGAGAAAAATTATCTTAAAATTTTAGAGAGTGGAACTACTTAAAACTTTTTAGAGATAAATATCTCAAAACATTTAGAGAGAGAAATTATCTCAAATCTTAAGTTTTGGAGAGAGAGCATGTTAAAAGATTAAAAACTATATCAAATTTTAGATAGAGAAACTACTTGAAATTTTTTAGAGAGAGAAACTGTCTCAAATTTTAAGTTTTAGAGAGAGAATATATTAAAACTTTAGAGAGAGAAACTATATCAAATTTTAGATAGAGAAAATACCTAAAATTTTTATAGAGAGATCCTTTTTTAAAAAATTTAGATAGAGAAACTATCTCAAATTTTAAGTTTTTAGAGAGAAAAAGTATATCAAAATTACAGAGAGAAACTACTTGCAAAATTTAGAGAGAGAAACTATCTAAAATTTTAAGGTTTTGAGAGAGAAATATCTTAAAACTTTAGAAAGGGAAATTATATCAAATTTTAGATAGAAAACGTACTTGAAATTTTTAGAGAGAGAAATTATTTAAAAGTTTTTATATAGAGAAACTATCTCAAATTTTAAATTTTAGAGAGAGAAAATATATTAAAATTTTAGAGAGAGAAACTATATGAAAATTTTAGAGATAAAAGTATCTCAAAATTTAAGTTTTAGAGAGAGAAAGTATCTTAAATTTTTTAGAGAGAGAAACTATATCAAATTTTAGAGTGAGAAAGTACTTAAAAGTTTTTAGAGAGAAACTATTTCAAAAAATTTAGAAAAAAACTATCTCAAATTTTAAGTTTTAGATAGAGAAAGTAGCTTAAAATTTTAGAGAGAGAAATTACTTAAAATTGTTTAGAGAGAAATATCTTAAAATTTTTATAGAAAGAAATTATCTCAAATTAGATGTTTTAGAGAGAGAAAATATCTCAAAATTGTAGAGAGAAACTATATCAAATTTTAGAGAGAGAAAGTATATAAATTTTTTAAAAAGGGAAACTATCTCAAATTTTTTAGAGAGAGACATTTCAAATTTTAAGTTTTTAAAAGAGATTGTCTTAATTTACAAACAAAAAAAAAGATTTAGAGAGAACTATCTTAAAAATTTTAGGGATATTAGCACCACACTAGACTGTACATTGTGGCGAAGTGCACTATTGACTCTGTTGTATTTACCCAATTAGCAAAACATTAAGAGGGTTCATTTTTAACACCAGTGCCGGTCGAGCAGCTAACCGAGCTTATTATTTACCATCCTTTAAGTAGCTAGTCTAACAAGAAGATCTGATGTAGCAAAACCAGAGGTAGAAATCACCATGTTAAGCAATCGAGTTGTTTCATGTTGTATTACCATGGTCACCAATCCAGTGTTTCTATTGTACTTAGGGTTTTGGCTTCTTTCAGCAAGATGGTGCTATCCAGACCTGTATTTTACATATATATTGTAGATTACAATGATAAACATTAGTAGTTTGAGCTTCTAATTATATATAAACATTGCTGACTTTGGTGAGTTTTTGAATCTGAGAATGTCTGTAATGAGTTATGGGTGATTTTATTACACTTTGCTTGTCTTCCCTATTGTGTTGTTTTCAGAATGTATCTATTAATCTTCTGCCTCCTAGTGACTAAAGTGGTTTTTCTGACTATGCTACAGACATAAGACTCAAGAATTGAGTGAAGATGTTACCTCAGGCAAGGAAGGCAATGGCTGATGCACCCAAGAAATTGGGAAACTTGATTGATCCTGTAAATCTCCCTAGTCCTCTCTGCAACTTTTTGGGTCAGTCTCAAATGTCTCGCCTGAACTGTTTCATTAAAGTATGGTCCTACATCAAGACCAACAATCTCCTGGTAAGTTCTTCACTTCCATTGCTTTTGAGGTGTCATGTTCTTCCCATGACAGGCATTTGAAATTTTATCATGGCTATAGTGAGAAAAAAGAATTTCTTTCTTTTGCTTTGTAGGGTTTTTACTTGCTAAGAATTATCAGATTGCGAGGTCTTGACGATTCTACATTCCTTACTATTGAAGATGTTTGAAATGATTCATATTAGCTAACAAGACACTAAATTATTGATGCTTCATTGAAAGATATTGTTTTTTGATGTTCCTGTAAGCTCCTAGTATGCATCAGAAATCAGGAGTTCATATGCGATCATGCTTGTGCTTGAGCAATTTTTTCTTTGTTCCCATTTCTTTTTTGCTTGATGAGAATGAAAAATGACAGAAAAGAAAACATTTATGGAACAAATATTTAGATTTGGGGGAAGGGAAATTTAACGTGGAACTCACCCCAAACTAGTGTCAAGTGAAGCTCCATCACAATTATTTTTAATGATGGTATTGATTGTCGGGGCTACTCATGGGGCACAAACTATGCTGCAAAATGGGAAATGATGATGATACTTGTTAATCTCCTTGGAGAAAGACCAGTCACAAATGATTAACATAGAGAGAGGCTTAATCTATTTAACTTGTAGTTACTTATGCTCATAGACTGATATTATGAAATTTAAACATGATGACGACCCTTTATCTATGCTTTGTACATTGATGTCCGCAACAAAATCAAAGTAGCAATGTCTTGTAAACTGCCTTTGGTTGTCGACATTGTCTCAGTGGTTGCTAGATGCTGAGTAAAACCATCTCCTTGCTTATAATCGCTTGAAACACATGTTCACTTCTTGCAGAAACCTAGAGTGGGCACATTCTCCTTTTCTGTTTGTCATATGGGTGGACCTTGTTTGTTTGGTATCCCTTTTTTGATAAGGTTGTCTTGTATGATATAAGAATATGCTTTACAATTTGCACAACACTGTGCTTGTATACAAGATTTACAGTATGAAGGCCTTAAAAAAAGTCACCCACTACGGAGAAAACTCAGGCGTCTTGCAAAATGCTCGAGGGTGGAGCTGTGGACAGAGTTTTGTTGGTTTGGGTTTCCTATGCATGGTTGGTGAGAAGCTCGCATTGAGGGTGTACCTTGTTTGAAAGCTGTTGGCAATGTTTTTGGCCTCACGCCATGTGTGGTTTAAAGAGACTGATCAAGCTACTGACTGAGAAACTCTTCTCCGAAATGTGTTTTAAGTCTCCAAGGGCATGTGTAGCATTTATTTGCCTAGTTGGTGCGTTCAAATCACCCTCAAATCACTAGGGTCGACCCCCAACTCTTGTGACATAATTTGAGCCCTTGGAGCAGGGTGAGGACCTCGCCATGATTGAAGTAGGAAGTCCAACAAGCCCCGCGAAGGGCAAAATTGTGTCACCCTGACAATCCCTAGAAACCCCCTTTGACACCTGCTGTGGTTGTTGACTGACAATCCATTGAAATTGAAATTTTTGGTGCCTAGTTTTGGGGCAGTCCAATGGGAGAATCCATTGGGTGGATTCCGGCTTGGATGTTAGTTGGATATCTCATCAAGAAGAAGAAGAAATATATCTCATCAAGAAGAAGATGAAAGATGAGGAAGAGAGAAACAGCATGAGAGCTCGAGAGAGAGACAAAGGCGTGAATCCCAATCTACGTAGGGCAGCATCTTGATTATGACATCAAATGTTACAAGGGTTGGATGTTAGGGTATGTGAAATTATGCAAATGCCCTTAACATCATTTCAAAGATATCTTATTATTTAATATAATAACAAAACAAATGACAATAACACCTCTTATACATGCAATACATATTCTAAAACATAGTCTAACACCCACTTCAAATTGTTAATTGTGCTTGAACATGTGCAATTTGTCTTTTAGAAACTAGTGCCATTCATTGGTGAGCCCTTGGGTGAAAATGCCGGCAATCTGGTTTTTGAATTTTGATGCCAATATAATCCATTCAAATTGCTATGTTCTTGCACACAAAATGGTAATCGATATCTTTGTGTGCTTAGTACGATCATGAGAATTGAGAAATAGGAATAGCTACAATAGCAGCTGCACTTTGATTATTGCAATAATGCTGCATTGCTGTACTTTATAACCAAAAGATATGGCCAAATTCTATACCTAAGAAATCTCTACCACAATGCTGCCTAATGCTCTAACTCCTTGGATCTTGTTATACTCTTTTGCTTTTTGCTCCTCCAAGATATCAAATCCCAAATAAACACGCTATCCTGAAATTGATTTGTGTGAATCTAGATCTCTTGCTCAGTCGGAGTCGGTGTAGCCAATGATGGAAGCGATGCATACATCATTTATGTATTTTTTTAGGTATATAATGCATGATTGATGGTCCCGTTCACATATGAATTCTGTATTGTAATGCCTCATGTGGACATTGGTGGGTGCATGCATAAATTGACGCACATGATTTACCTTGTAGGCTATGTCTGACAAGTGAGGGTGAGGTGTTGTAGTGGTCCTACCATACTTCGGTATTTCTTTGGTTCTTAAAGTAGTTAACCTTCATTTGCTCTTGATCTTTTGTTGAGGGTTGCTGGAGTGGTTGATGGCTTGCAATGGAACATATTATTGCACTTTTAATTATATACAGTATATTGGTCTAAGAAGGTTAGGACCTTAAACTTTCTCTTAACCCGTCCTAAGCCCGGGTAAAGGAGGTGGACAGCCATCGTAAAACTTTGCCACATCTTATCATGAATCATGAAACTATGTTATTGGTTTTATTGACCTTTGATAGAGAAGAATGGAGGAACATGATTCATATTGCCGACCCCAATTAATTGGGATAAGGCTTGGATGATGATGATGAAACATAGAAACCACATAGTACTGGTTATTCAAAAGAATGATCCCTCAAAAATTTTTTCCTTCCCGTCGTGTCTCAGGTGTCTACTTCTTTGCCATTCATCTGGTGCCTCAGGTGAATGCCAAAGAGGGGCAACTATAGACACCTCCCTCGAAATTCTAGCCTAGGGAACTCTTAAAAAGCTCGATTCTGAGCCCAAAGGACCACACAAACCCTGGACCATAGGCAACCTAGACTAGTGATTCAAAAAGCGGACTGCCTAGCGCCTAGGTGGTCCAGAAGGCCTGGGCGCATCGCCCAAGCCTAGGCGGCGAAACTAGGTGGGTGCCCAGTGCCCCGCCTAGGGGCAGAAATGGTTTTTGTTGAGGGTTGTTTTATGGTTTTTTTGAAAAAATATTGTTTTTAAAGGTGGGTTTTAGGTTCATTTGAAACCTAAACCCACAAAAACCCATTTTAGAGAGAGACAAACCTAAAAAAAACCAAATTTTGTGATTTTCATTGGATCAAAGTGTTTCTCAATGGTACGAGAAATGGATCCTAACATCACCTATTAAGATTAAATTTAGTTTTGGAGTTTTTTTTAGTCCTATTAGAAGTTGTTTTTGAATATTTTAGCATCAAAAAGCATCTCAGAGGTGGAGAGTGCAAAACTTTATATTTTAGATTGCTTGTGTTATTTTGAGATGTCTTCTTCAAGATCTAGTCGAAGTGGTGATCCGGCCTGAATTCGAATGACAAAAATTGTAAAAGATGCAATTATTGTGAAAATGATACAAACGGTAGCATAAACCGGTTTAAAAAACATCTTGTCGGTATTAAGGAGAATGTTGCCCGATGTAAAAATTTTCCTGAAGCTATCAGAGAGGAGATTAACCAATATATGAGTTCAGTAAAACACAAGCAAGAACAAAATCCTTGTCATTTGCATAGGTCTATTTCTGGTTCTACTAGAAGAAGTGATCTAGGTTGGAAGTATGGTTATAACCCAATACCAAACGATAAAAATTGTATAAGATGTAATTTTTGTGAAAAAGATACCAATGGGGTATTAACCGATTCAAGAAAACCTTATTGGTATTAAAGGGTATGTTGTTTCTTGTAATAAGGTTCCTGAAGCTATTGGGATTAGATTAGACAATATTTGAATTTAGTAGAACCATAAAAGGATGAAAATGAGCCTTTTTCTATGGAAATATCTTTTCCAGGTTCTTCTAGAAGTGGTGATTTGGGTTGGAAGTATCGTCATAACCCGAATCTAAATGATAAATCGTATTAAATGTAATTATTGTAGAAATGATACTAATGAGGGTATTTTAAAGGGGATGTTGCACCGTGTAAAATTGTTCCTGAGGTTACTAGGGAGGAGATTATATAATATTTGAGTTTAGGGAAGCACAAAAAGATATAAAAGGGTAGAGTAGCGAAGACTCCGAGGGCGTCATCTGCATAGAGTAAGAGGGAGGTAGAAGAAGAGGAGGAAGAGGTAGATTCATAAGAAATAGAGGAGGACGAACGTTATGTTGAATAGGGAGGCGACTCTGATGATGATGGTGTCGAATCTGATGTATATGATGAGGCTTCCCCTACTCCTTCTGATGATGATGATGGTGTCGAATCTGATGTATATGATGAGGCTTCCCCTACTCCTTCTGATGATGATGATGGTGACTGAAGAATGAAGAGTTGAAGACGCTTGACTCTTGGTATTGACTGTTGACTATTGAGTCTTAGACTGTATATTTTATGAATTTCTGTTTATTTTCGTTTTCTTATTTTTTAGTTTCTAGTTTCTACTATCTTACCCATGTGTGTATGCATGTATGGTTTTAGCATTGTCTGAAAATATGGATTATGGACTATGAAAATTCTCCTCATTCATGGAAATATCAAGTATGGATTATGGATTATTTGTTATATAGTTAGTGTTATACTGTTATATTTGGTATAAAGTTATGGATAAAAATTCTAACATTTTTCTTTCTAATGGGCCTCACAGGTTCTGGGCGCCCGCCTAGGCACTGGGCGGCCTAAACCCCCACGACCGCCTAGGTGCCGCCTATCCCAAGTCGAAGTACACCTCAAGAGCTTTCCAACGGTTCAAGAATCACTCAAATCGGACATATGGTTAAAAAGATAAAA